TATGATTTTACAAATTACGCACCAAAACATCATGCTTTGCAACAAAATGACAGAAAAAGCAGTTTGATACACGGTAACATTATCTAGTAATTACTGCATTTACCAATTTAGCACCAAAACATTGCAATGTATTGAAACAGCTGTGGATCTGGACAGGAGGCAGACTGTGTCGGACAATACAGAATGTTGGATGGGTGGAGGTTGGTTAAGCGAGACTCTATTGTATTTTCTTCTAAATTGCCAAATTAATATATTTGCACCTAACCTGAGCTTTTTCTGAGTAACTATCTACCAGATGGGAATACAGGAATCTAAAACTGAATTTAGACAGCATTTGGTTTCTTACATCGATTTCTCAATGCTTCACAAAGAGGGACAATGTGATACAGGTATGCCTTAACCATCCAGAAGCTTCCTTCACTTTTTACCTCTGATAAAATAATAGCAAGAAAACAAATACAGTGGATGTTTTTCACTCTGTGAATAAACCGAGCTAAAGGAACAATAGAATGAATGAGTGAATCCATATTGCTCATGTGGGGCCTTTCCACACAGTCGTATATCCCAGAATATCAAGGCAGAAAATCCCACACTGAGTGTGGGCTCAGACAACCCAGTTCAAAGCAGATATTGTGGGATTTTCTGCCTTGATATTCTGGGATATACGGTTGTGTGGAAGAGCCCTCAAATTCCTGGGTATCCTGAAGCTTAGGTAGGACACTGTTCTTTCAGTTGGTTTTAAGTCTAGTATATATGCTTGTAATCCCTGACTCAAAAAAATATCTATGTAAAAAGAGAGAGGAAGGCAACTTTGTCTTTGAATTTAGAAGGTTGAAACCCTGGCTTTGCCATTAGAGCTCTCCAAATATTTCTGTGGATACCAGCCACTGGAAACTTCCAACTAATATGTCCAAAGGCAGATTCTCTAAACTCTGGTGGTAGCACAACAGTGAAAGACTACTACATGATACTTTTGAGAGAAAGGGCTGACGCTCAGAAAGCAGACAGTGCTGAACTAACTGGACCAATGTTCTATTGCAGGCTTAGTAACACATACTGAAACATTTGTATATGGGGCATGGAACATGCATGTTCAAACTATTTCCATCACAATATATGTGCATTTACAGCGCAATATTCAGCGTATGGCTGCAATCCTGTGTGCAATTAGAACCGCCCTTGATGTGACCAAACTTTTGAGCATAGTAACAGCCATGTGTTTGTGCCTAAAGATAATGTGGTCCAGAAACATGGACTTGGAAGATTTCAGGAAACCATTCCCAGTTAATCCTTGATTAGCTGAACACACATTAGATGGTCTACAGCACTGGTTCTCAACCTGTGGGTCCCCAGATGTTTTGGCCTTCAACTTCCAGAAACCATAACAGCTGGTAAACTGGCTGGGATTTCTGGGAGTTGTAGGCCAAAATACCTGCGAACCCACAAGCTGAGAACCACTGGTCTACAGCATCTCTATCCTTCTCATCTCTCTTCCTTATTCTCTCAGGGTATTTCTATATGGACAGCTCCTAGAATTATAAATTACAAAACATTGTGTAGCTAGTTTATATTTTCCTCTTTGATTGATCGTCTGAAGGGGGAAAAAGAGGGAGAAGCAGGGAATCATAATTGGAAGACAACAATCTCTTGTATTTCCCTTGCCTTCTGAGGGGAAAAAAAGACAATGAAAGGCAACTGGAAAAGAAGTAATCAGAGCAATTGAACAATAAAACCTCATCTGGAAGCACCACAATCTGTAAAATTGCTATCTGTAAAATGGGATAGCATTATCAAGGTTGTGGACAATTTTGCACATTAAATCAACAGGGACACAATAAGACTTACATAAGTCCCAGAGGTTCATTAGGCCTGTTCTAGTTGGAACAGCTAATGGATCTAGGCTCAAATAGACAAGGCAAATAATCGATCACAGCTTCTGAAAGAGGCTGCCAAAATATATTGACACATTCAGATATTGGATGCACCACATGCTATAATAATGCAGCACCATGAGGTTATTTTCAAGGACATACCATACATATTGAAGCACACTTCCTCCCAGCTTAAATTTTCACTTGCTATCATCTTGTCCAAAACAATAATCTCCGATTACTTCTTTTGGGAAAAGCCACCAAAGACAAGAGAGAATTGAATACGGAAATCACTTGAGAATTAGAGCCTAGTCATTTTTTAATCACCAGAGTTATCTCACAGATTCAGAATATTCTCATCACATTACTATGTTTTTTTATTTTTACAACAGAATGATTTTAACAGCTCACAGAAGAATGTGAATATGTGTAATTAAAACAAGGCTACATCACATCCCTTTTGTATTTTGTAGATAATCCATAAAGAAATATATATTTTCCCATTGTCACAGCAATGGGGAAAAAGATAATTGCAATGATAGTCATGTTATGTTTATGTTGATGATAAAACCACTTTTAGCAAGGAATGGGCAACTGCAGTAGAGGCTTCTCCACAGTGGGACATGCTATGAAAACCTGGTCAAAAATATGAAAAAGTCATTTTTTGTTTTCACTTCTAAGGTTTTTTTGGGACATATTTGGGCTATTTGGTGTGTTTGGGTATGATTTGGGTGGATCAAGGTGGAGGGCTTAGTTAACAATGGCATTCTAGATTATATTTTGGGATGTTTCATCGATGATATCCATCCCTTTTAAATATATGGTGTGTAAAAGGTTTTCAGACTGCGTGTGGCACCCAGGTGGCACTTTCCTCACACCTGTTTTATGTTGTTTTTGAATCATTCAGGAGGTTAGTCTACATTTATCATCCATTCATTTTTAAAAGAAGACACAGCTATTGCTAAAGTGTTGGTATTAAATTAAGCATCACAGCTGTTCTCTTGTACATTTTTTTCGTGTCAGGGGCGACTTGAGAAACTGCAAGTTGCTTCTGGTGTGTGAGAATTGGCCGTCTGCAAGGACGTTGCCCAGGGGATGCCCAGATGTTTTGCCATCCTGTGGGAGGCTTCTCTCATGTTCCTGAATGAGGAGCTGGAGCTGACAGATGGGAGCTCATCCCACTCCCTGGATTTGAACCTCCGACCTTTTGTCTGTAGTCTTGCCAGCACAAGGGTTTAACTCATTGTGCCACGGGGGCTCCTGTTATACAATGATACTTTTCCTAAACTACTCTCACAGATGTGATATTAACTCAAAAGAGAAGGGGGAAAATCAGGGTCTTTAACTATTTATTTCTTCTCTGAGATTTTACCTGAGATGAGACCTCAGATTCACATTTCAACTTCACACACGGTGGGCAGAAAATAACTTGTGGATGAGATGATCTACCATTTGCTGGATCTCCCAGTTTCATTCATTATTTTCCCCTATCTCTGTGAAACACCAGGGCAGAGAGAGTTCACAAGCACACATTCCTTTCCTGATGTCACCTCAAGAAGACTCCCCAGTGCAATGCAGCATTTCAACAGGCCTGAAATATTCTCTGCCAGCCCTATCTCTTAATCTGAAATGAGATTGTTTTATTGTTTTATTGTTGGCATTATTTCTGAAACACCGACTTTCATGCCAGATCGGTTGCGGACAGTCTCACCTTCTCGACAATAGTCTTCAAACTCTGCGGATCCCTCAACCCTGTTGCATCATAACATCTTGCGATGCTAGACATATACTTTGGGAGGGCAGGCAGACCTGGAAGCACCAAGATGCTGTTTAAGCATTCAGAGCTACCTCTGTCCTTTGGGAAGGCCACAACAAGCCGCGATCCAAATCATCAGACCACATCTCCAGAAAATGTAGCTACTCTTTTGCTAAGCTATTTGTGATTATCTCAGGAGATTTAGTTATGACAAACATTAGGGCTAGATGGTCTTTGGGACCCTAAACAACTGTCTGATTCCATGCCAGTGTACTAGATATTACTGGGGAATTAAAGACCTGGGGGGAGGGGGACCTTGGTATTTATTTTGCCATTGTGCTAGACTGTTTTGATCAGGCATGGGCAAACTTGGGCCCTCCAGGTGTTTGGGACTTCAACTCCTACAATTCCAAACAGCCTCAAGCCCTTAAGTGGCTGGGGGGGGGGAAGGATCCTGAGGCTGTTAGGAATGGTGGGACTTGAAGTCCAAATCACCTGAAGGGCCCAAGTTTGCCCATGCCTGATCTAAAGTCAAACACTGGCTTGGGCAAGCATGACCCTGTAACCACCAGAAGGCACCAGGAGCCCAACCTAAGAGTCACTCATGTTTGCTTATGCTCTGTAAAATTTAGAAATAAGTACTTGTCTAGGTAAGCAAACACTTGTAAGGGCCCCTTGGTGGTGCAGTGGATTAAACCACTGAGCTGCTAAAGTTGCTGACCAAAAGGTTGGAGGTTCGAATCCAGGGAGCAGGATGAGCTCCTGCTGTTTGCCCCAGCTTCTGCCAACTTAGCAGTTCGAAAACATGCAAATGTGAGCAGATCAATAGGTTCCACTTCTGTGGGAAGATAACGGTGCCCCGTGCAGTCATGCGGGCCACTTGATCTTGGAGGTGTCTACGGACAACACCAGCTCTTTGGCTTAGAAATGGAGATGAGTATCACCCCCAGAGTTGGACATGACTAGACTTAATGTTAAGGGAAACCTTTACATTTTATTTACTTGTCTGCGTACTTAAGAAAAATATTCGGAATTGCTTGTATGAGAGACATGTGCAAATAAAACTGGTAACTGTTAAGGCTAAAATATTTTCACTCAGTGGGGAGGACAGGATTGAGTGTGCCTCCATGCTCACATGTCAGACTTGGAAGCCTTGAAAAACACATCATCCAGAGATGTACAATATGGGCACCTGCCTGACCACCATCTCCACCTGCTTTCACCGTCTCCACCTGCCTTCCAAGATGTGGCATGTCACCGACACATCTGTCAAACAAAGAGTGATATACCACTGAGCTCAAAAGCCATGTATCTAGACTGACAGATAAACCAACCCAGACCGACACGGATGCGCAAACGGTCTGGCCACTCACCCAGTCCTCGAAGTGGCGGCTCCCATTCTGCAGCAAGTCTTCAAACTGGATCGTACAGTTGGCCACAAAATCGTCGTACCCGATGGGGGCATCGTGGAAAACGGCCATCTCGATCTTCCGCCCGTTGTTCACGTCCGTGACAAACTCATCATTCCACGCAGGGCTGTTGGTCTTCTGCTTGGTGGAAGTCTGCCCGATCCTGGAATCGTCCACATTGAGGGCAATGTACGGGTCCAGCAGGAAGGTCTGGGGCTTGGGACCCACGGCATGGCGGAGTGACCACGCGGTGGGCTTGAGATTGACGGCTTCGCAGATCTTGATTTTCAGCATGCCATTAAAAACCACCATGGTGAGATGGCTTCACTTGGGACTGTGCGTCCTGGTCCTGGTCGTCGGCCTCCTTCCCCCCCTTGGGACGAAAAGCACACTCTGTGAAGCCAGGAGCGAGATCAGTGTGGAGGTTCCTCCAATAAATAAGAAGGCGGGCTTCGGCAAAAAAAAAAAAAAAAGAAGAAGGGTGCTGGCAGAAAAGCAGCCTGAGAGTAAGGGGGTTCCTTTTGATTGATTGCTACCTATGTTGAGTTAGCCTTTCCTCTTGCGACACCCAGTGAAGACATACATGCATGCATACATAGACATATATAGGGGAGATAGAGACTCTTTGCTAGTGTGTGTGAGAGAGAGACAAAAACAAGGAGGGGAGGGCACTCTACAGTCCCTGGTGTGCAGAAATCCCAAAATGCACAATCAAGAGGAGGGTGGATGCATTTATTTTTTCACACACACACACACACACATGGACTTTCCTCCTCTTCCCCTCCCCTCTTCCCTCCCCCCCTTTCTCTCCCCCACCCCTCTTTAGAGCATAATCCTGGATCAAGTCTTCCTTCTGCAGCAGCAGCAACAACACCAAAAAAGCAATCCGGCGTCCTTGCAACGCTCTAGTGCTGTCTTGTCTGTGTGTGCAGCAGGAGAAGAAACAACACAAGAAGGGAGGGGAGGGGAGGGGAGGAAAGGGGAAGAGGGGGAGGGGGGAGAGAGGGAAAGAGAGAAGGGAGGGGAATCTCAGAAACAGAGACACACAGAGAGAGAGAGAAAGAAAGAGCCCTCCTTAGCCACCCAAGCCAAACACCCAGCCCTGCCTCCTTGACGCAGCCGCCCGATTTCTTCCTTCCTTTCTTTTTTGGTTTGAGAAAAAGGGGAGGGAGGAAGAGATCAAAAAAGGGGGGGAAATCTTCCAGTCCGGAGAGCCTTACATCCGCCTCGGCTGTTGCTGCTGCAGCCGCTTCCTCGCCGCCGCCGCCGCCGCCTTCTTCTCGGCGTCCTCCTCTTCCTCTGCCTCCAAGGCCAAAGATCCAGTGGATCGGATCCAAGGCATGGGGAGCCACTGATCCGGATCGCTGGGGGGGGGGGGGGGGGGGGGGGGGGGCAGGAAAGGCGTGGGGATCTCTCTCGCTCTCCCCCTCTTGCTGCGTTTCCTTGTCTCTCTCTCTCTCTCTCTCTCTCTAATTAATATCTTTTCTTAATGCAACAGCGCTCCACCCCGCAACGGCGTTGGTTGCCTGGCGCGTTGGGTTGGGAAGGGAAAAAGAAGCGCGTTGGGTTGGGAAATGGGGAGGACAGGGAGGGGGGGGGCGAGTGTAGATCGGGCTGATCTCCGAAGCGTTCCCCCCCTCCACCTCGGTGTCTCTGTCTCTGTGTGTGTGTGTGTTTCTCTCCAGTGCAGGAAATGCGCAAAAGACGTCAGGGGCGAGCGATGTGTGCCTGCCGAGAGAGAGAGAGAGAGAAAGTTTTTGCCTCTTGGGGGAGCCGTGCGCTCTGGCCCAGGCACACCAAAGTGGGGGGGGGAGTGTGGGGGGGGAGGCTTCTCCTTGCACTTGGAGACAGATTGGAGGCGAGGAGGAGGAGGAGGAGGAAGAGAAGGGCGCACCTCTCTTTCTTTCGTTCTTTCTTTCTTTCTTTCTCTCCTTCTGTTTCTTTAGGTCTTTCTTCTTTCCTCCCTCCCTCCCTCTCCTTCCCAATGGTTTGGGGTCGATTCCAATAGCAATAGGAACCCCCTTGGCTCTATTGTCGAAGGTTTTCATGGAATCACTGGGTTGTTGTAGATTTTCGGGATGTATGGCCATGTTCTAGAACAGTTTCTCAATCTTCCAAATGCTGCAACTCCTTAATACAGTTCCTCACGTTGTGATGACCCCCAACCATAACATTATTTTTGTTGATACTAACCAGGTGTGCCTTGGTTTGACCACACCTGGAATATTGTGTCCAATTCTGGCCACCGCTCCTCATAGGGCTTGTTCTCCAGACCCTTGATCATTTTAGTCACCCTCCTCTGGATACATTTCAGCTTGTAAACATCTCCCTTCAATTGTGGTGCCCAGAATTGGACACAGTGTGATTCCAGGTGTGGTCTAACCAAAGCAGAATAGAAGGTATCATGACTTTCCTGGATTTAAACACTTTACTCCTTTTTTTTTTTTTTGGTCGTGTCAGGAGCATCCTGTTGTGAGAGAATTGGCCGTCTGCAAGGATGTTGTCCAGGGGACGCCAGGATGATTTTGCTGTTTTATCATCCTTATGGGAGGCTTCTCTCATGCCCCGCATGAGGAGCTGGAGCTGATAGAGGGAGCTCATCCGCTTCTCCCCGGATTCAAACCTGTGACCTGTTGGTCTTCAGTCCTGCCGGCACAGGGCTTTAACCCACTGCGCCACCAGGGGCTCCTACTATACTCCTATTTACGCAGGTCAAAATCCTATTGACTATTTTTGCTGCCACATCACATTGTTGGCTCATGTTTAACTTGAGCCACAAGGACTCCAAGATCTTTTTTCACACATACTACTGTTAAGCCAGGCATCCCCCATTCTGTATCTGTATTTCATTTTTTCTGCCTAAGTGGAGCATCTCGCATTTTTCACTGTTGAACTTCATTTTGTAATTTTGGTCCATCTCTTAATCTGTTAAAATCGTTTTGAATCCTGCTCCTGTCTTCTCCTTCTTTCTTTCTGTTATTCTTCCTTCCTCCCTCTCCTTCCCGATGGTTAAGGGTCGATTCAAAGCATCCCTGACAGATGGCCATCCAGCCTCTGTTTAAAAGCTTCCAAAGAAGGAACCTCCACCACAGTCTGGGGCAGAGAGTTCCACTGCTGAACAGCTCTCACAGTAAGGAAGTTCTTCCTAATGTTCAGGTGGAATCTCCTTTCCTGTAGTTTGAAGCCATAGTTCCGCAACCTAGTCTCCAGGGAAGCAGAAAACAAGCTTGCTCCCTCCTCCCTGTGACTTCCCCTCACATATTTCTACATGGCCCTTATCACGTCTCCTCTCAGCCTTCTCTTCTTCAGTCTAAACATGCCCAGCTCTTTAAGCCGCTCCTCATAGGGCTTGATCTCCAGACCCTTGATCATTTTACTCGCCCTCCTCTGGAAACATTCCAGCTTGTCAATATCTCTTCAATTGTGGTGCCCAGAATTGGACACAAGACTTTTGTCAAAGACTTTCATGGAATCATTGGGTTGTAGGTTTTTCAGGCTAAATGAAATTAAGTTTAGTCGTGCCCGACTCTGGGGGTTGGTGCTCATCTCCATATCTAAGCCGAAGAGCCGGCATTGTCTGTAGACACCTCCAAGGTCATGTGGCCAGCATGACTGCAAGACATGGTATTATCCTCTCACAGAAGTGGTATCTATTGATTAACTCACATTTGCATGTTTTCAAACTGCTTGGTTGGCAGAAGCAGGGACTAACAGGGAGTTCACCCCACTCCCCAGATTCAAACCACGAACCTTTCGGTCAGCAAGTTCAGCAGCTCAGCTGTTTAACCCACTGCGCCATCAGGGGGCCTATAGATACCATATTCCTATTTATTTCTTATCTGCCTCTCTCTTTGGATTGAGGTGGGAAACAACCATAGAGCAATCATGTAGTACCATTTTATGAAACATATGAAACCAATATATATATTTAAATCAATATTTTAATATTCATAACAAAAATAACCTGCAGACAGTGTTACCATCTGACTAATCAACAGGTCCTTCCACAATCTGGGGGTGGATGGATAAATAAAACTTAGTTCAGACTGACAAGTAAATATTCTCCCTGGGACCTGAGTGTACAGGGTGGATTACAGTTTTAGCAATATTTGAAAAAAAATCTGTTCCTGGTTTGAAAGTATTGTTTCCTGTTTAATTATGCAGTACTTACTTTGAAAGTAGACTCCAGAAACTTCACTTTTGTGGCTGCCACACAGTATGTTGAATTGGTGAGACTCAATGAGATATACATTTTAAAAACTATAGCAAAATGTGCTGTAAGATGTCCTGCAAAAAAAAGGTTTTGCATTTTAATAAACTTTTCCCATGTTTTTAAAGGATATAACCAATTAGAAAATGTCATTTATAACCCAGGAACAAAAATCATTTTACATGGTGTAATATGTAGGTAACCTGGATCCAAACTTTGTAGGCTTTTAAAGGTAACAACTCATACTGGTTGTTACACACAGTCCTATATCCCAATATATCAAGGCAGAAAACACCACTTTACTCAGATAACCCAGCTCAAATCAGATATTGTGGGATTTTCTGCCTTGATATTCTGGGATATGTGTACAAGGGCCCCTAGAAAGGGGGACGAAGTGGCGCAACAGGTTAAACCATTGAGCTGCTAAGCTTGCTAACCTTAAGGCTGGCAATTCAAATCTGCAAAACAGGTTGAGCTCCCACTATCAGCCCAAACAAGCAATTCAAAAACATTCAAATGTGAGTAGATAAATAGGTACTGCCTCGATGGGAATGTAAAGGGGCACCCCACAAAGTCATGTCGGCTACATGAACAGGAGGTGTCTACAGACAACACAAGTTCCTCAGCTTGGAAATGGAGGTGAGCACCTCCCCAGAGCCGGAGATGAAAGGGGAAGCCTTTGCCTTTGCCTGTGTATGTGTGTTTCAAAGGTATTGAATGTTTGCCTGTTTTTGTATATATGTTGGAATCCACTCTGAGTCCCCTTGGGGAGATAGGGCGGAATACAAATAAAGTGATTATTATTATTATTATTATTGACACAAAAGCACAGTATGTCACAGCAAACGAGATCTATATGCTGGATTTTGTATCACAAAATCACAAGCCGAACACTTCCTAAGCGTCTAGGACTGTGTGATGTATTTTTGAATGATTCGTGCAGATCCAAGTAAGGTGGCCTTTTGCAGTTGACAGATCGTGATTTTGTTGATGTTTATTGTTTCCAATGGGTGCCACCTTGTTGTGGTGGGGGGCTTAACTGCTCCAAGGATGCTGAGAGCTGTGCTGGTGGTAGTGTAACTACCAGCAGGTCCAACCAAGCTAGAGAGGTCTCAGCTGAGGAGTGGAACCAAGAACACCTAACATTAACACTTTGAAGAAGCAAACCAAAACGAAGTCTATACTGGTTCGGTCGACGCCCAGGATAAAAAGGACCGTGGTGGATGCTGCTGATTCTGGACATCCATCGACCAGTGGGCTACAGAATCAACATACAAATGAACCATCACAGAAGCAGCAGAAATATACAATGCCAGAAAACCATACAATTATTATTATTATTATTATTATTATTATTATTATTATTATTATTAGGTCCTAAAGAGGACATTTTATCAAATATGCAAATAATCAAATCCACAAATATGGAGGGCTGGCTGTAATATGGTTATTCCTAGAAGTACCAGTAACCAATCTAGCTGCTTTGTTTTGAACTAGTTGGAAAGTCCACATTTAGTACAGAGGTAGCTCAGTGAACAGTATATTGCATAAGCCCAGCCTTGAGGTTGCCAGCATAACCCCGTCTTTAGATCCTCCAGTTTTAAGAAGGGGTACACTGCCATAGCATAACTGAACCTGATAATACACACCACTGCGGTACATTTAATTGGATTGCCATTTGGATTGACGGGCCTAGAGGCACTCCCAAGCTATGAACAATTTTTCAGAAGGGGTATAACCCTACCTAGGACTGGCTGACACAATTCCAAACCAGGTTAGCATTAATACAATTGTAGAAGCAAAGAGTTGGAAGGGGCCTCATGGGCCATAGTGTCCAACTCCCTGAAAGCTGCCATGTGTAGGTTGGATCCTTGACCTTTCTGACATTTAAAAAAGCTAGAAGGCACTGCCTGAGTAGGTAAGGGTACTGGCCTTGCTTTAAAAAGGCAGAATTCCAGCTTCCCCTGAAAGGTAACATTTATTTTTAAAAAGCTCTCCTTGGATCCCAGAATTCTGGATAATTATCAGTCATCTTCTATAAGTCAGCATCATCTGATGTGTGACTCGTGTATGAATAGGACAGGGGCTTTTCATAGATGACACCTTGGTTCTGGAATGTCTTCCAGATGCTAACAGATTTGAGGTAATACAAGAAGGCCAGAAAATTCCAGATTTTGTTC